AAAGTGCCATTTTCTATTGGAATCTGCCCCCCCATCCACACAATACCCCCACACACACACACACACACAGCCCACCATACACACATTGCCCCCACATACACTGCTCCCCATACACACACTACCTCCACACACCATACACATTCACACACTTCCCCCATACACACATTGCCCCCCCACACACATACACTGCCCCCCACACACATACACTGCCCCCACACACACACTGTCCCACACACACCATATACATTCACACACTGCCCCCCATACATACATTGCCCCCCACACACATACACTGCCTCCCCATACACACACTGACCCCACACACACATACACTGCCCCCATACACATTCACACACTGCCCCCATACACACACTCCCCCCAGACACCATTCACATACACACATTACCCCCCCACACACATACACTGCCCCACACACACATACACTGCCCACCCATACACACACTGCCCCCACACACACAGCCCCCACACACATACACAGCCCCCCATGCACACATTGCCCCCCACACACACACTGCTGCCCCATACATACATTGCCCCACACACCCTACACATTCACACACTACACCACACACACTGACCTTTCACACACACTGCACCCCTCACACATTGCACCACTCACACACACACCACTGCTCCTATGCCTACTACAGTCCCATATCCCAGCAGACCCCAGGTAAGTTGTCAAACTGTTCTTAAACGGTTTGACTACTTACTCTGGGATGTGGTCCCTGCACTCCTGGCACCACAACCACTACACATAGACTTGTAGTGGTTATTGTGCATGGATTACGTCTTTAAATAATCAACTAGTGCCCCTCCTGAGATCAGGCTCTGGATCTGCCACTAGTCTAGCCATGCATTATGTTGAATTTTTATAGATATGTGTAGCACAATAAGTTTAATACAAGTTATACCTTCTTGATATATATACTTTAACAAAAATGTGCAGGATCCTCAAATGCAAACAATTGTTTTCCTATGTCTATTGATTGTGGCCTTGTAAACGTACATGTCTATTTATTTATTTATTTATTTATAAAAGATTTTACCAGGAAAGATACATTGAGATTTCTCTCGTTTTCAATTATGTCCTGGGTCCACAAAACATTGCATTGATACAATAGGGTACAATAAAATACAAAAACAATATTAATACACAATATATACAAAATTTAACATAGAACAGGTAGGAAATATATAATCAACCATGACACGTGCATTCTGTTTTGAGGTATGTAGAGAGGGATCTCTTAAAGGACTTTAGGCTTGGGGAAGATTTTAATGTGTGGGGAGGTCATTCCATAATTGCGGTGCTCTATAGAAAAAAGAGGACCGGGATACTTTCTTTTTGTATTGAGGTAGACTAAATAATGTGCTGGTACTGGATCGGAGGTTATAGAAGGTGGGAACAGCCGAGGAGAGCATTCTGCTCAGGTAGGGCAGGAGCTTTCCAGAAAAGCTCTTAAACACAAGGCTGGAAAGATGAAGGGTGCATCTGGATTCCAGCGATAGCCAGTTTAGTTCTTTTAGCATGTCACAATAGTGGGTCCTGTAATTACATTGTAGCACAAATTGGCAATGTATTGAGTTTATTAATGTGTGATTGCGGACCGGTGCAGGTGCATATACTATATCCCCATAATCAATGATTGGCATCAGCATTTGCTGTACAATCTTTACCTTTACTGTAGAATTTAGGCAGGATTTGTTTCTGTACAGGGCACCTAGTTTTGGATAAAGTTTAGATGCAAATATTTCTATGTGGAGGCCAAAAGATAGATTGGGGTCTAACAACATACCCAAGTATTTGAAAGAGTGGACTGCGGTCAGTGTGCTATTTGAATTTGTTTTGATGGATAGGTGGGAATTGTGTAATTTGTGTAATTTAGGTACTGTTCCAAAGATCATTGTGACAGTGTTGTCAGTGTTTAGGAAGAGTTTGTTTTTTGCGATCCATTTTTCTACCTCTGTAAACTGGTCTTGGAGCGCAGCCTCAATCTGCGGTATATCGGATTTGCTTGCATAGATTAATGTGTTGTCTGCGTACATGTGTACATTTGAGGATTTGCAGAGATCATTTATAAATAATGTAAATAGTAGGGGGACGAAAATGGAACCTTGGGGAACACCACATGTGACTGGGAGACGGAGGGAGTCGCTGTCAGAAATGGACACATATTGCGATCGATCTGATACATATGATCGAAACCAGGTTAGCAGACAATCACCAATACTTGAGTTTTTGAGTTTGTGCAGTTGAATGTCATGGTCTACTGTATCAAAGGCCTTTGCAAAATCAAGGAAAATAGCTCCAGTTAGGTCTCCTTTTTCCATGCCAGTTTGGATGTCATTGCAAACTTTTAAGAGGGCAGTTGTAGTGGGGGGATTTGGGCGAAAAACCGATTGATCAGGGGTCAGATAGTTTGATTGTTGGTAATAGTCCCATAGTTGCATTTGGACACATTTTTCTAAGATTTTTTACAATACTGGGAGCATTGATATTGGGCGATAGTTAGAAACCAAAGTAGTGTCACCACTTTTATGGATAGTAATTACTCTCGCAGTCTTCCAAAGTTCCAGACACCAAGGATTCGTTAACTAGGGTTGTGACAGGTTTAGATGCAGAAAAATAATTATCAGGTGTTCTTAGGCACTTTCCAAAGCAAGAAAGGGTGTATATGCACACAGGTGTTTCCAAATCACCTTACAAATACAAATAACAAGTACGTGATAATACAATTACCACACAAAATACAACACCCAAAGTGACACTTTAAGGGTATACCTCCCAATAATTGCGTGTAATATCAGTAGTACAAGTCTTTCTTGGGAAATCTACAAGAAATAAACATTGCCATACATAGTGAAATCTGTATGATAATAATACAATAGGGAGAAATATGAGATGTCAACTCACAAATATAGAGCCGTGCCAGCTTAGGGGTGCCAATAACTGGCTATGAAAGTGCTCCAAAGTTGGATCTTGTTGTATACAAATTTATTAAAGCAATAAATGTAAAATAAAATAAAAATTACAATAAAATTTAAATCAGCAGTATGTGAAATATACAATACCGCAATGGATAAAAAATTCTATAATAAAAGCTCAGGTGCAAACGCGTTTCGACTATCTATAGTCTTCATCAGTGCAAGATGAATCAGGACTGGCATCTTGTTCCTTTTATACACCTCCACAATAGGATTTTTGCGGCAAGTCTTCACTATACTCCCGGGTCGCGGCAGATCTTCCATGCAGTTCCGGGTCACATGACCGCCAGCGTCCACTTCCGATGATGACGCACGCACGATGTTTACCTCTCAATCCATGCAGACAGTGTTCTAGCATTCATATCAAGTGTGGGCGACATTGCCCTTCTTATAAAGACCGTTCCCAATATACAACCATAGCAAGAAAGGAATAAAACATAAATTAGAAAAGGAGGTTTCAATACCATTATATATATATATATATATATATATCTCCAAAGGAATAGTGACCCATAAAACTGCAATAGAGCATAAAACAAAAAATAACACAAAACAAAATACATTCCCCAAGGCGATATAAAAATACAATAATACAAAATGTATACAGCTTGTAACACTATGAAATGTATGCACAGATGGTAATGCAGGAAGAGTATAAGGAGAATCCCAGGGAGATACCAGCAAGAAGAATATATAAAATGTATTCACGATATATATAAAAAAGAATAAATTACAAAAAATTAGCTAAATCAAAATCTAAGTTCAAGCCATTTGGATGAAGAGAATCCGTCTTAAAAATCCATTGGCTTTCTATTCTACATAGCTCCCTGAAATTATCCTCGCCCATCCAATTGTGTTCCCTCTGGCTTATAGCCATAAAGCCCAAAAAGGAGGGGTCCTTGTTATGGAATTCAAGAAAATTAGCAGATACACTATGTTTTGTGTACCCACTCTGAATATTCCCCATGTGCTCCAGCATGCGGACCTTAAGTTTTCTGGTGGTCATTCCCACATACTGCAAGCCACAGGGACAGCAGAGGAGGTACTCAACATTAGTGGAGTAACAGGTGAGAACATCCCTCACTTTATACCGTGTATTTGAAAGAACACTGTGCTAGAACACTGTCTGCATGGATTGAGAGGTAATCATTGTGCGTGCGTGATGACGCTCGCACGTAACTGGAAGTGGACGCTGGCGGTCATGTGACCCGGAACCATGTAGAAGATCTGCCGCGACCCGGAAGTATAGTGAAGACTTGCCGTAAAATTCCTATTGTGGAGGTGTATAAAAGGAACAAGATGCCAGTCCTGATTCATCCTGCACTGATGAAGACTATAAATAGTCGAAACGCGTTTGCACCTGAACTTTTATTATAAATTTTTTTATCCATTGCGGTATTGTATATTTTAAATACTGCTGATTTATATTTTATTGTAATTTTTATTTTATTTTACATTGATTGCTTTAATAAATTTGGATACAACAAGATCCAACTTTGGAGCACTTTCATAGCCAGTTATTGGCACCCCTACGCTGATCAGACAGAGCCTGGCACGGCTCTATATTTGTGAGTTGACATCTCATATTTCTCCCTATTGTATTATTATCATACAGTTTTCACTATGTATGGCAATGTTTATTTCTTGTAGATTTCCCAAGAAAGACTTGTACTACTGATATTAGACGCAATTATTGGGAAGTATACCCTTAAAGTGTCACTTTGGGTGTTGTATTTTGTGTGGTAATTGTATTACCGTATATACTCGAGTATAAGCCGACCCGAATATAAGCTGAGGCCCCTAATTTTACCCCAAAAAACTGGGAAAACGTATTGACTCGAGTATAAGACTAGGGTGGGAAATGCAGCAGCTACTGGTAAATTTCTAAATAAAATTAGATCCTAAAAAAAATTATATTAATTGAATATTTATTTACAGTGTGTATATGATGAATGCAGTGTGTGTGTATGAATGCAGTGTGTGTATGAGTGGTGTGTGTGTATGAATGCAGTGTGTGTGTATGAATGCAGTGTGTGTATGAATGCAGTGTGTGTATGAATGCAGTGTTTGTGTATGAGTGCAGTGTTTGTGTATGAGTGCAGTGTGTCTGTATGAATGCAGTGTTTGTGTATGAGTGCAGTGTTTGTGTATGAGTGCAGTGTGTGTGTATGAATGCAGTGTGTGTGTATGAGTGCAGTGTGTGTGTATGAGTGCAGTGTGTGTATGAATGCAGTGTGTGTGTATGAATGCAGTGTTTGTGTATGAATGCAGTGTTTGTGTATGAGTGCAGTGTTTGTATGAATGCAGTGTTTGTGTATGAGTGCAGTGTGTGTATGAATGCAGTGTTTGTGTATGAATGCAGTGTTTGTGTATGAGTGCAGTGTGTGTGTATGAATGCAGTGTTTGTGTATGAGTGCAGTGTGTGTATGAATGCAGTGTGTGTGTGTGTTGCAGAGCCTTGGTGGGGGGGTGGGCATTTTTATAAAAAAAAATATATATATTATTATTTTAATTTTTTTTGTTGTATTATTATTTTTTTTATTATTTTTATTATTTATTATTAATTTATTTATTTTTCGTCCCCCCTCCCTGCTTGATACATGGCAGGGAGGGGGGCTCTCCTTCCCTGGTGGTCCAGTGGCATTGGCAGTTCAGTGGGGGGAGGAGGGGGGCTGGCAGAGAGCTGTTACTTACCTCTCCAGCAGCTCCTGTCAGCTCCCTTCTCCTCCGCGCCGGTCCGTGCAGCTCTTCTGTCAGCTCACACTGTAAGTCTCGCGAGAGCCGCACTATGACCCCGCGGCTCTCGCGAGACTTACACTGGGAGCTGACCGAGGTGCTGACCGGACCGGCGCGGAGGAGGAGAGAGCTGACAGGAGCTGCAGGAGAGGTAAGTAACAGCTCTGCCCGCCCCCAGTCTGTATTATGGCAATGTAAATTGCCATAATACAGACTGACTCGAGTATAAGCCGAGATGGGGTTTTTCAGCACAAAAAATGTGCTGAAAAACTCGGCTTATACTCGAGTATATACGGTATCACGTACTTGTTATTTGTGACAGGTTTAGCAATTGCCGGCGCACTGAGTTTCAACAGGATTGCTGGGATTTGATCAGGCCCAGACTGGTTTTTCATTTTTAGATTATTAAGGTGTTTTTTAATGACACTGATAGGTACAGGTCTAAAAATGAACTTGTCTATAATGGGTGTTTGCAAATTTAGTGGGGCCTGATCCACATTTGTAGTTTTAGGTTGGCAATCAGGGTAGTGGAGCTTGGCAATCAGGGTAGTGGAGCATCCGACAAAATAATTGTTAAAGGCATTTGCTACATCTAAGGGAAGTTGGTTATCCACTTTGACAGTGGAGGGTTGGGAGTGGATTGGGAGAGTTTGTAAATTATTTATGACTTTCTAAAAGTTTCTAGGGTTTGACAGGTTATTGTTCAGATTTTCACTGAAATATTGGGCCTTGGCCAATTTTGTTTGTTTTGTGCATATATTTCGCTCTTGTCTATACGCACAGTGATCGTTCATATAGTCAGTAGGCTTAAACTTTGACCACAATGAATCCCGAAACTGGTATATTTGGATGAGGTCAGCTGTGATCCAGTTCATACGTGCTCCTTTTACTCTCACCTTACACAGCAGGGCATGCAAATTCCAAACTTGTAGGAGTTCAGACTAAAAGAATTCAACTGCACAGTCTAGATCTGGGATAATGTTTAATCTGTGCCATGGGAGGTTCATGATGTCATTAAGAAAGGATTCAAGATTAAATTTTTTTAAAGGACCTGGTGATTTTAATCACGAGAGAGGATTTAGTAGCATTTATTTTGCGCATGCAGTACACTAAACAGTGATCACTGAAACTGTTAGGGAGAGCACCTGCCTCCTGGATTCTATCAGGAGAAGTGGAGAGAATCCAATCGAGCAGGGTATGGTTATGGCTTTTAATGTTTGTGCAAGTTGGGGAGGAGATTAATTGTGTTAGCTGCAAAGTCTTAAACAGCGAGCAAGAACTATTATTTTTAGGATTCAGCCAATCAATATTAAAATCTCCAAAGACCAACAGTTCACTTTTTGGGTTTTGAGCTATGGTTTCACTAAAGAGATGGGCTATGTCAGATAGGGAATGCACTGGGGAGCTAGGTGGGCGGTAGATTCCTGCAATAATCATTGATTTACTGCACGGGATTTCAATTGTGCCAGAAAGGAAATCAAAGGTGGCAGGAGGGCTAAAGTTTTGTAAGGGGGGTAAACTTTATGAAATTGTCAACATAAATAACAATGCTTCCTCCTCTCTTTGCTCTGTCATTTCTAAAACATCACCCTGTAATCAAGGCCGGATTAACATAGGGGTTGATGGAGCTGCAGCTCCAGGCCCAGGCCCATGGAATAGGCCCATTAAAAAAAAAAAGAAAAAAGTTTTTTGTTTTTTTTTACACAATACTCTTAGGTTTGCCACCTGACTGGTATTTTACTGGCACAGCCAGTATTTGAGGCTGCCTGGCCTTACCGGTAATGCAGTAATACTGGCAATACCAATGCAGGTATTTTTCTCAGTATAGACGGAGATTACTCTGCAATACTAGCACTAGCCAGCAGGGGTCACTTTGTGTGGAGAGAGGCAGGGATAGGAAGTTACAGCATATCCTTCCCTGCCTCTCTCTACTACTCACTGATCTGTGGGGGAGCAGCTACACAGCACAGAGAGGCCAGACAGCAGCCCTACAGCTCAGGTAAGTGAGGGATGGGGGAAAAGGCAGCAGGGAAACAAGTGGGGACACTGAGACACATGGGGACACAGACACCAGGGGACACTGGGAGACCTGGGGACACTGAGATACTTGGGGACACTTGAAAACATGGGGACACTGAGACACTAGGGGACACTGTGAGACATAGGGTCTCCCAGTGTCCCCATGTCTATGTCCACAAGTGTCCCCATGTCTCCCAGTGTCCCCAAGTATTTGTCTCCCAGCCAGTGTCCTTAGTGTCTCAGTGTCCCCAGTCTCCCAGTGTCCCTAGTGTCTTAGTTTTCCCAAATGTTTCAGTGTCCCCATGTCTCCCAGTGTCTGTGTCTCCATGTCTCTGTGTCCCTAGTGTCTCAGTGTCCCCATTTCTCACAGTGTCCACAAATGTCTCAGTGCCCCCATGCCTCCCAGTGTCTTAATGTTTCCCTAGTATCCCCATGTCTGTATTCACAAGTGCCCCCATGTCTCCCAGTGTTCCCAATTTTCTCAGTGGCCCCATGTCTCCCAGTGTCCCCGGGTCTCTCAGTGTCCCCATGTCTCACTGTGTCCCCTAGTATCCTAGTGACATGGGGACATACTGAGACATGGGGACACTGGGAGAAATGGGGACACTGAGACACTGGGAGACTAGGGGACTGGGCGACATGGGGACACTGACACTGTGATACATAGGGACACTGAGACACTGGGTGACTTGCGAGACTGGGAGACAGGGAGACACTGGGAGTAATTCATCTATACAGCAGAATCAAACTGTGAGTAGTTTGTTGGTGATTTTACAGAATTTTCTCTTATGTCACTCCTTGTGATTTACATCGTGTGATGTTACGCATAACAAATTAATTATACAAATGATTAAGGCTGGTGGTTTTTTTCCAAGAAAGGTGGCAACCCTAACTACTCTTAGGGTCAGGAACACAATCATGAATTTCTGACCCTATTATGCAAAAACCATCGAGCCCCCCTGGCCCCCTCTTGCCTCCCTAAATATAGTAAAATCTTACTTGCATTCTGTAGTCTGCAGCTGCTGGCTCTGCCTCTGAACTGACTCTGTCTGCTGACATCATCAGAAGTTGTGGTCTGAGCAAATTATAATGCTTCCCCGTAGGATTGGCTGAGACTGTCAACTAGGCAGATCAGGGGCAGAGCCAGCACAAGTCAAACATAGCCCTGGCCAATCAGCATGTCCTCATAAAGATAAATTGAATCAATGCATCTCTATGAGGAAAGTTCAGTGTCTGCATGCAGAGGGTGGAGACACTGAATGGCAGTGCTGCACACTAGGCAGTACTGCACCTCTAGCAGTCATCTAAGGAGTTGCCAGTGGAGTTATTTTCTCTGAAAAGACAGTGTTTACTGCAAAAAGCCTGAAGGGAATGATTCTGCGTACCAGAACAAATACAATAAGCTGTAGTTGTTCTGGCATTTATGTCAAGCTCAGGGTGCTACATGCATAGTATGTCCTTAGTTGGACAGCATGCATGATTGGCAGACAGCCTGACATGCATTTGTGCCAGGCTTTTTGGGCATGTTCACCCCGTTTGGCAGGTCTGGTCACATGATTCACATCAGTGGCACACCCTTTTACTTCATGCTTCACTGGACACTGCTGTTAGGGGTTATGGATTTACTTGAAAGATGAAAGCATAAATTAGAGAGAAATTAGCATAGAGTATGAGTTTTTTCATATAGCTGCATCCTTTGAGTTTCCCTTCAACACAATCTCCATCAGATACATGACGCTTGGGAGGTATGGTTGTTTTAGTGTTTTTGGTGGATAAGATTCTGTAATTAGGCCCATCATAATTGTCAGCTCCAGACCCACTGGGCTCTTAATCTGTCCCTGCCTGTAATGCAATGGCGGAGTCTGGTATTTTAGTTGTTAAGCATGATTTTGAGAGCACAATGATTATTGGTTTGTAATGGGAACACCAGGCTTGCAGCGCATCCAGTTTAGGGAGTAAGCTATGGATGTTGCAGTGCACAAAAGAGAGGCCTTTTTTTAGTGGGGAGATTAGGACTAGAATTAGCTGGGGGACTAACCCATGCACAACTAAAATAAAGAATTTAAAAAATAATAATAATATTTAAATTAAAAATAAAATAAAATGCCTAGGCTGAGACAAATAATATTGATCCAATAAAATCAAAAAATCTTTTCCTGCCATCAGCTTTATCCCCTGATGTACATAAGAGAGTAAATCACTTCACATGTAAGTCCTTAACTGCACTGAACATGATTTCGACAATACGTAGCAATAATCTATAAAGATCAATTGTCTCGATTTGTTAGGAATTCTACAGAATGATTCACTACCTGTTTAAAACATATTTTTTTCAAGTCTACCATCATTAAAGCCCCCTTAAATGTGCACATAGTGTATTTTGGAACAATTATTGACAATCTCATCCTTATTTAGGAATAACACTAACTCAATGGTAAGTACAGTGCATAGAAGAGAGGTTAGCCCAAGGCCGTTATTAGGACTCGGGACAGTAAAAAACTATCTACATTTCTACTCTATACTCATGAAAGCTGGTTAAATCCAATTAGAAATCAATAGATGCTTTCACTGAACTGACAACTAAATGCCTTCAGGG